AAAAAAAAAAAAAAAAAAATGGAGATTATCAGTGGCACATCCACAGAGTGGGGTTTCGTCCAATTTTTCGGATTGAATTTGAATTTGGAAAATGTTGGGCTTTCTGAGGGGAGGAAAATCGGAGAACCCTTTCTAGGGTTTGTTAAGATACGAAGACGGACAAACCTCGGAATACAACATGTAATATCGGCCCGCACAGTTAGGCGCATGGGCGAGCTAAAACGCCAGCTTTTTCGATGCCCTGGTTTATGAAACAATGGTAAGCGATGTGAAGAACCTTGCGAGAAAATTTTCCCTCGTAAAGATCGCGATCATGCGCGTAAAAGCGGTAATAGGGGTGACCTTTCTAAGCAAATTCCGTTTGTGTCCGGCTCCCGTGCACTCTGCAGTCCCACTGTCTATGAACTGCAAGTATAATTTATTATGACTAAATTATTCTGATGTTCAAGTTCACGTTAAAATCGCATCCTTTTTCTTTAGCATTTTTACCGCTAGCTTCGTAATAAAAAAGGCTCTTTTTACGACTGGGTCACATGATACCAAACCAGCCATGCTGGGACGCAAGTTGCACAGTGGGAATAGCAAAGCAAAGGAAAGTCAAGCACTGTTGTTGCTTTTATTATTATTGTTTAGCGTATTTAACACGGCTTTGTATTAGCAATTTAAATTTAGTTCTTTCTTTTGCCTCTTGTATCGTTATCCAGTCGTTGTTATGCTCATTTGAACTTTCTTATGAAATTTTTGCGCAGTACAATTTGTATTATCATTAGTATTAAATTCAACATTTTCTGCTTAAATCCGTTGTAATGTCCCGTAAAATTCGGATATCAGGTCGATCAGTCATTTTGCTTTCGCAAATTATAGTCTGTGATCACTGAACTACAAGAACTGTAACTACTGAACTATAGTAAGAGGGCGAAACAAGTACAGTTCAACCCCGTTATTTCGAACTCTCATGGGGAACGAAAAATCATTCAAAATAGCCAGTGGTAAATTAATGAAAGGCAAATCCAAGGGAAATGGTTTTGAGTTCAAATTAACATAGATTTCTAAAATAACCAAGTTCAAATCAGTAGGGTCCAACTGTACTTAATTTTTAACAAGCTACCAGCACCGCGAATCGACCCACCGTTAAAGTCGGAGCCGGTCAGCTCGGCTCATAATAGTGCAGCCAAGACAAAAACGTGAGGTGATAACTGGCTTGTCTTTTGATACCATCAATTTTAACTTCCCATCTTATTCCAAGCGCATGCTCGGTGATCCCTCACCACCGGCCTGGACAGTCATCGAACCAGGTACGCGGAACAGTTTCCAATTAATAAACAGCACCTTCTATGGCTCAGATGGCCTCGCTCTTCAATATAGAGGCGACGGAGTGCTCCTGAAGAACAATCTGTTTATGTACAATGATTGGTCCGTTGCTAATATGAAGGAGAAGCCTGGTGGATTAGGGACTGTCATATCGAGCGGTAGAAACGACAAGTTTTTTCGGAACACTATGCGCTTTAATGGGGCAAGCAATGGATATGGTCCTTCAAAGGAAAATCCCCTTGTCAAGCGGCAACCACATTCATCGCCAATGCGCGGGAATTTTACAGCACGACGGAGGCAGTGTCCAGTTCCAAATTGGTGCTCAGGCGAACGCAAAAGTATTGTTAAACTGGGTTCATTCCAGCCCCAAGTACGGTATCCGCTTTGATGGGCAGCCCCCAAAAGTCGGCGTAAAGGGCACTATAATGAGAAACGTGGTGTGGAAAACTAACGGGATCATGGTAAAAGGAAATTTCCACAAAGTTGAAAACAATCTCGCCTTCGATAAAAGAAATGACAAAAGTGGCGATAATCACGGCAGAGGCTGCACTTTGTGCGTTTTGAGGAAAGTTCGTTCAAACCTGACACCAATTAACGGCAAAATAAAGATACTGCGCAACGCAGCTGACGCGGCGAGTGATCCTTCAGCAGGAAAATGGAAAGACAACATGGAAGGTGATGTGCGGACGATGGTAATGGATGCCGACAATTTGGACTTCCGGCCGCGTAAAAATTCCGCATGCAACAAGGCTGAGGCTGGACCATACCTGATCAGTTACAATCCTAGGAGCAGGGAGTATTGGATTCCCGGAAGAAAGCTTTACAAGGCGAGCACGTCCGTCCCCCCTAATGGTAGTACCACGGTGAAGGTAAATGAAACTGAAAATGAATCTACATCCTTTGACTTTTGTACTGTGTTTGTTGAGTGCCTTTACATTAATATCAAAATTAGATTATTCACATTTTTATGATATAACATCACCAACATCAACAACTGTGACAACAACAACAACAACAACAACAACAACAACAGATTATATGTATCTCATGTCAAGAATTTTTATGTGATGTATTTCACAGAAAATAGGTAACAGGGCACCCTACATGAGTCAAATAAAATAATTATTAAATACTTTTGATCAAAATGCATAATTAGGTACACTGTAAAAAAGACAGAAGTTATAAATCACAAATGAGTTATTGCACACTATTAAACATATATCTAAAATCTAAGTATTCTAACCACAATTTACTTTGTCCTGTATTTAAAAGTAAAACCGAGGGAGGAAGAAGTTTTGCGTTCCAAACTTGTCAGACATGGAATACCTTTCCACTTACACTAAGAAAGAAGCCATCTGTATATAGCTTTTGGGCCGGCCTATGGAAATCTATTTTTAGCAAACAACAGTGCATCTCTCACTGAATTTCTCAATGTAAAATGGCTTTTTTCCCTAAAAGTTTACAATTTAGTTTTTATAATTCTTATTTTGACTGTCTTTTCTTCATTTTTACTAGTACCTTTTTAATTGTAGATTTGTAAATATTTAGTAGATCTTATCATAATCTGAACAGCTTGCATCTTGCAAAAAGAAATTTACCCGTTCGGAGTATTATTATTCCAGCATTCGATCATGTTTTGCAAATAAAGCTGGGACTCGTTTTCTCGTTCTCTCTCGCCCTCCTCGTAGTCTGATAGGGACGCTGTCATGTGGTTAAACGCACTCGATGCCACGACCCATCACGTGTACTTTGGCACGAGCAAGACGAAAGTTGCCAATGCAACGCCGAAGTCGGCCGAGCTACAGGAAACGATGACCAACAACGGTAACCAGCGTTATCTATCGCCTAAGATGAGGCTCAAACCCCGTAAGACTTACTACTGGCGAGTGGATGCTGTGATAAACAAGCCAACCGTTTATAAGGGAGATGTATGGTCCTTTAAAACGAAGTGAAAAACGGAAGTCGCAGGCGGAGCCAAGTTTCCCTATTATGAGTTGCAAGTTATATTTGATTGTTAAAAAATCTAGCTCAGTACGAGGTGACTCAAGTATCCAATAAGGGATTTTGGTGATGGGTATTAGGATGATCGAAATAGCAACATGATGCAACCTCTATGAAATATTAAAATGAATCGAAACCTTGAACCGCGGCGTTCGGTCTGTACTCACGACCTCGGTCAAGATTCTCTCCTGCTCGGTCAATAAGAGCTAAACATGTAGCATTTATGTTGAGAATTGAAGGTTAATATCGGTGAAATTACCGAGTACTAACATCGTTTCCGAAAGTATTTTGCCGAGATAGAGAGATTAACGTGGTATTATAATTGTCTTTTTCATATACAACACTTTGCTGGGACAACAAATGACAACAAATTTCTCCCAAACCTTGTTGAGCCCTACCAATCCGTAGCTTTGTCAGCCAATGTTGTATTTTCCCTGTTTACATCTGTTTCTTTTTTACATTAATTATGTTCGCGGCTGAACTTGCACCCTTCTTTGCTGACTACAATGGAATATCTTGCGAAATTCGCGTCGGAGTTGCTGATTAAAAATCCCGTATATAACGGGATTAACGGAGCTGCTGAAACCAGCGAGGTACGTGGACGTCATGTACACCTCACGAGGCATCCAATAATGTCCTGTCCACAAGCCTACGACCTCTGTTAGAGCATAAGGCGACCAACAAATCGTGAGGGCAATTACTATTGCGAACAAGAGCTTCGTTACCTTCATTTCTTCCACTTGTATATTTGCTGTTTTCCTGGAATCTTCCCAGGAAGTCGCTAAACGCGCATTGTGTTGACGAACCGAGCGAAAAATTCCAATGTGACAACACACTATGGAGCCAAAGCAGGTGATGATTAAAATCACTTGTATTGTAAGACACGTAGGAGCCCCCCTTTATCACAATCATAAATACAAATATACTCTCCTGGATGAAAAGTAAAAGCATTTTTTGACATCGCAATAATAGGGAAGATGGTAGAAACGACGAGCGCTACTGCTACTGATAGGAAAATATTTCTTTTCGAGTAAACGTTGCGATGCAAAGATGGCCGAGTCACTTTCAAGTAACGAGCAATGGCGGTCGAAACCACTGTGAGAAGTGAAAAAGTACCGAAGACTGTAAACGTAAAGCCTTGAAAATCACAAGCGGCCTTGTGAAATGGCCAACGACCCGTCAAAAGCACAGCGATTGTTAAAGGGTAGCCCAACACGGAGATAAGAACATCGGACACAGCTAAACAGGCGATGAACAGGTTTGAGGTCGAGCGTAGGCGAGGGTATCTGTATATCGTCCAGCAGATCAATAGATTTCCACCGATCGCTGTGAAAAAGTTTACGAAAGTCGCCATCGATTCCATCACAACAGATACTGCATGTCTGTTTGCCAGCTTTTCTTCCAAGTCCATCTTTTGCTGTAACTCCATTGTGGAATTTTGATCGGGATTAACACTCGGTCTGCAATGAAAGGAGGCTCGCGCAAGTTAAATTTTCACCTGCAATGCTATCTTGGCATATCGATGCGTTACTGTCTTCTTGAAAGCTTGGAAGAAATGTCAAAGTAACTAGTTTTCCTTCTTTCATTGGCATTTCTCATTCCGTGTTATACGGGTGGCACCGTGTCGGTTTGGTATATTTTTACATAATAACTCCGAATTTATTTGCAAAAGGCGAAATTCCCATTCACGTCGCTCTCGGATACATGCATTTTCATTCTCTTATCAAGTTCTAAGATATTCGACACATTCACAAATTTGTAAAATTGATAATACAATCATTTGACGATTTTGTTAAAACCTAGCTTCGTTTTAATACTGTTTCTTTCTAAGTGCTAATTTCAAAAAGAATTAGATAAAGAGATAAACCACGGAAAGAATGATCCAAAACTTGCAAAAAACAAAAACAAAAACAAAAACAAAACAAAAACAAAAAAGATCAATTAAACCGGATATACATCTAAATGTTGCTTCCAATTTTTAAAATTTGTTCTGTCGTTGACCCAGCGTTGTACAAAATGTCATGAACTGTTTCTGGCAAACGATTTGTTTTTTCTTGATAAATAATGAACCATCACGAAATGTAAAGAGGGGATAACAAAGCTACAGAAACATGTTTCACATTCTACCAATAAGCTTTGTTTATTATTAATTTTGTTGTCGAACAACACTTTCCCTGGCAAGCTTTCCGGGGATGAGACAGAAAAAGATAAAGAACGCTGTTCTGTGCATGAAAAACGTGGCAAGTGCGGGGAGTGAGCGGGTGAACATGCATGAGTTATTACAGTAAATTTACAGGCCTCGAGAGAGGGAGTCAGCATAGGCCTTCGAAGCTGGCGTTTTTCTGAAGTGATGGTAGAATAAAAGCCGTCGAAAGCAAGAGTATAATGGCGAGCATAAGCATTACAGTCAAATGAGCCTTACAAAGCGCTAATTTACACCAAAATTTACTCCTAACTGCCGTAGTTTACATTAACTCCATAATTATTTACTTTTCAATCGTTTTGAGTAATCTTCTTATCCCTGCTGCCTTTGAGATTCTTTTTATGACGAAATGCACAAAAATTCATTTTGTTAAGTTTGGCGTGGATTTTGAAATTATAGCTAGCATGGCATGACGTGACATGGCCATTGTGTCAGAATACACGTGTATACTAACAGATAGAAGGATGAGCTGGCTTGGCTTACTTTTTTTTTTACTAGTGAGAGACTTTTAGTTGAAACTGAAGTGACGTATTTTTGTTAACTTGCACATACGTTGTAGTTGCTTTAAAGGGAGGGAGGTCGGTTTTTCCGCTACAGGGATAAAATTCCGACCATTTATTATTGATGGCTCAGTGACTGTTTATGGTAGAAATAGCCTAGTTCGGATAAAACAGGGTGACAGGAGTTTGCTATTTTAGGGATGCTATTATTTCCAAGGTGCGTCAAATTGGAAGCATAAGAATTGCTTAGAAAACACATATTTTATAAGCATGACTAAATTTATTACCAAAACAAGCTAGTTTACTTGTATAGCAATGACGCATTGACCCTTTCATAAACTTAACAATGCAGTCCTTCGATCATTTATTCTACCTTCCTTGTGCATTACACGACACTACTTACCGCCGTGTCATTATTTCAACCAGCGGCATCTCAAAAACTGTGACTTTCATGAACTTCTTCGGATTCGCAACGTGCGTTCAAGTTACTTCGTGTTATAACAAATTTGTCACCATTAAACCAGCGATTAAACCGACAAAAAAAAAAACAACAACAACAACAATAACAACAAAAAAACAAACAAACAAACAAAACTTAGTAAAGAGTCTCGATTCCTAGAGGTACGTTTTATTATTTATATTTTCTAATTCTTATTCTATTTTATGTCTATTTTTATTTTTATTTTTCCTTTTTTATTATCTATATTTTATTATTAATATTTTCCATTTTTTATTTTATTCTATTTCTATCTTTCTATTTTTTTTATTATCTAGATTTTTTCATCTATATTTTCGGCAATTAGTAGACGAGAGAGAGAGAGAGTACAAATAAAGATTCTTGTTGTTGTGCGTAACCTTACTAATTTTTCAAAGTAGTCTTTTGTAATCAGTCTCAACGTCCGCAATATATCTTTATACGAATGTGAAAACGTAAATAGAATTGTTCAATTTAATGTTAGCTATGCCACGAGTAAGGGGTTTCTCTGTTGCCAAACATTCCACAGGTAAACTACTATTTTCTTTTCTGCTCTGTAACCATTTTCCTTTCTTTTAGCATTCATTCCGAATTTTCCTTTTTTTAATCGTTTTCTATATATCAACCATAAAAACTACTAGTTATTGAGATTTCTTTGATTTAATTTGCACTGTCGACTCTGAACGAGATACTCTGAAGCGCACTCTAACAATTCCACGAATGAGAGCGTAAGATATAATAGTCAGCGTGTTTTTAGAAACGCTGTGTAAAAGTGTAGACGGGTCAGCGACGATATGTCAAACACGAGAGACAGTATTTCATCGAGATATCCCAACACCGAGAGGAGAGTTGAAAACACGATGCACAGCGGAGTATTTTCGACGAAATTCAAGGTGTTTGGATAGCCGATGAAACACTGTCTCGAGTGTTTGATATATCTTCTCAATCGAAACAAAAACTAAGGAGTAAACGGAGAAGTAAAATCGTCAAAATCTATGCTAATTAAGACCGGGTTATCCAAACCTCCTTCACGGTTGTCATTTTCTTTGTTTTAACTTGATGAATTATTAATGAGTTTGAGAAAGAAACAAACAAGAAAAACACGTATATTCGTGCTTTCTCCTTTCTTCTTGCTGAAACACCGTGAACCTCAATCAAGCAACGCCAACTATTACTATCTATGATACCAATTGGCATTATCGTGTACGATTTCACGCTTTTGTGGGACAGTCTTTCGGTCGAAAGAGCTGTGTATAAATNAATTGTTCAATTTAATGTTAGCTATGCCACAAGTAAGGGGTTTCTCTGTTGTCAAAACATTCCACAGGTAAACTACTATTTTCTTTACTGCTCTGTAACCATTTTCCTTTTTGCATTGATTCCGAATTTTCCTTTTTTTAATCGTTGTCTATATATCAACCATAAAAACTACTAGTTGTTGAGATTTCTTTTGATTTAATTTGCACTGTCGCCTCTGAACGAGATACTCTGAAGCGCACTCTAACAATTCCACGAATGAGAGCGTAAGATGTAATAATCAGCTGTTTTTAGAAACGCTGTGTAAAAGTGTAAATGCGTCAGCGACAATATGTCAAACACGAGAGACAGTATTTCATCGAGATATCCCAACACCGAGAGGAGAGTTGAAAACACGATGCACAGCGGAGTATTTTTGACGAAATTCAAGGTGTTTGGATAGCCGATGAAACACTGTCTCGAGACAAGTAAGTAAAATCGTCACAATCTGTGCTAATTAAGACCGGGTTATCCAAACCTCCCTCACGGTTGTCATTTTCTTTGTTTTAACTTGATGAATTATTAATGAGTTTGAGAAAGAAACAAGAAAAACACGTGTATTCATGCTTTCTCCTTTCTTCTTGCTGAACCACCGTGAACCTCAATCAAGCAACGCCAACTATTACTATCTATGATACCAATTGGCATTATCGTGTACGATTTTACGCTTTTGTGGGACAGTCTTTCGGTCGAAAGAGCTGTGTATAAATTGTACTTGAGTGTACTTAAACATATAGAATATATAGATTGCAATTGCTTTATATTTAACAGTCGTCAGTTGATATTGGTGATGTACGTTCCAGTGCCAACATCATTTTCGACAGCATCTGGTCATGAGGAATTTAATTTCTTTTTTATTTACAAAGAATGGTGTTCATTCGAAAAGTTGAGAAACAAGCAGAATATCAGAGCTCAGATCCAAACGTAATTTCTAAACAAGCTTTGCCGAGAGGTATCATAACTTTAGAAGTAACAATATAAAACAATAACTTTCTGCAGTACATTGAAACCAGCGTAGCAATCTTTTTTTTTTTTTTCTATTTAGTATGAGGTAGGTTGAACGCGATCCATTCTTTGTCGATTACACCGGAATATTTTCCAGAATTCGCGCCTGAGTTGCTTGTTAAAAATTCCGTATATCACGGGATTAACAGAGCTGCTGTAACAAGCGAGGTAGGTGGACGTCATGTACACCTCACGAGACATCCAGTAGTGTCCTTTCCACAAGCTCACGCCATCTATAACAATGAGAGGCGACCAACAGAAAGCGAAAGCAATGACTATTGCAAACAACAGCTTCGTTACCTTCATGTCCTCCACTTGTATGTTTGCTGTTTTCCTGTTATCTTCCCTGGAAGTCGCTAACCGCGCATTGTGTTGACGAACTGAGCGAAAAATTCCAAAGTGACAAAATACTATTGGACCAAAGCAGGTGATGATTAAAATCACTTGTGCTGAAAGACACATTGGAACCCCCACTTTATCACAATCAAAAATGCAAATAAACCTTCCAGGATGAAACGAAAAAGCATTCTTTGATATCACAATAACAGGGAACAAAGAAGAGATTACAAACGCTGCTGCTACCGATACGGAGATATTTCTTTTCGAGTAAATGTTACGATGCAGCGATGGCCGAGTCACTTTCAAGTAACGTGCAATGGCAGTCAACGTCATCGTAAGAAGTGAAAAAGCACCAAACATAGTGAGCGTAAAACCTTGAAAATCACAGACCGCCTTGTCAAATGGCCAACTTCCCGTCAGAAGCACAGCGATCATGAAAGGAAAGCCTAACACGGAGATAAGAACATCAGAACCAGCTAAACAGGCGATGAATAGATTTGAGGTCGAGCGCAGGCGAGGGTATCTGTATATCGTCCAGCACAACAACAAATTCCCACTGATCGCTGTGAAAATATTTACGAAAGCCACCGTCAATTCCATCGCCACAGATACTTCATCTCGGTTGGCCAGCTTTTCTTCCAAATCTATCTTTTGCTGTGACTCCATTGTGGAATGTCGATCGCGATTCACATTCGATTTATAATGAAAGGGCTCGCACTACTGATACATTTTATCATCTTATCGAAGTGTTTAAGATGACATTCACGGTAGAGATATCAACAGTATAAACTGTCAATACTGCCCGCCCCCCATTTCATGATTTTTCAATTCAATCGTCAGTTTTTCCGTAATTATCATCAATTTATAATAATTGTTACAATGCTTTCCACTGAGTGATAACCTCAGAAGACAAATCATTTTAGTATTTACATAAAAAGATACACCACTGAAAGAATTATCTCAATTATACAAATAAATTTTTAATTAGACCGGATGCACATTGAAATGGGGCTCCTGACTTTTTCTCTCTTCCAGACAGGATTAAACATAATGTCATGAAATGTCAACGGCAAACAATGTGTTATTTCCTGATATACGGGAAAACATCACGATATGTACAAGGCATTATGAGAGAGCTACAGAAACATGTCACACTTGCTGGCCGAACAGGGTCGTTCATTAATTTTCTTTTCAAAGAACATTTGTGGAGGCAAATTCACTGGGAAAGAGAGAACAACAGATAAAAAAATACTGTTCTGTGCTTGAACAAAAGTGACGTGTGTGAAGTGAAGGATCTAGTATAAATATTTACAGTAAATGACTGTAAATAATTATTGACTTTAGAGCTGGCGTTTTTCGGAAGTGATGGTCAAAGTACGTCAACAATACGTCAAAGGCACGCACGCTTAAAGAACTAGGTGTATTCATCTTTCGTTGTTTGTTATGGGAGTAGCCCTCGATTGATATTTTCTTTCGCTTTAAGCGCGTCATATTGTCACTCGTGCTTAAAGAACGAAGTGCACATGTATATTTTCCTTGCTTGTCGTGGCAGTATCCCTCGGTTGATATTTTCCTTCATTAAAATCACCAAGCAAACCATATGGATTGACAAACCGTCTCACCCTTCACTAAACAGTATCACCTGATGTATGAGAGAAGAATGGCGAGAAAAAAGGTGACGGTAAAATGGACTCATGCGCTAATTTACGTCAAAATGTACCTCGTTCGGAGGCATTATGTACCTCGTTCGTTCGCTCGTTCGGAAAAAACATTATCCTCCATTAACTATAATTTTCTTGGCGTGACAGTGAAATCACATATATTGTTTTACCAGTCCTTCCTGTGATAACAATAATACAATTTGTATTAAAAAAATTGAAAAACAGGAATGTTTCTATGCGCATAAAAACAATTCGATTACGATAAAAAAGGTAAAACAAAAACCCCAAGTACAAATTTCTAATACAAATCTGTGATAAAAATGCTCAATCATAATAACAACAACAGCAGCAACAACAACAGTTTTGGCACTTCCCAGTCTCTTCAACCTAAGGGAAGTGGTCAAAACTATGTTACATGCTAGGGACCCACTTTTTGGAGGGAGGGCTATATAAGAGGCCATGGGTCTAATGAAGGGGTGGGGGGCTACTTAAGAGGCTATGGGTCTCCTGAGGGAGGTGG